GCGATGCTTTCGACCAAAACAGGCGCAGCTTGATGACATCATCAACATGCGCTATCGCGATAGAGCGATATAGTCAAAATCTCTATCGCTGGCCAAATTTATATCGTTTATATCGCCCACCCCTAAGTGTGTGTCACAGCGATTAAAACACTGTCAAACTTTTTATCCATGTTGTTTGGATGTTACTCACTGACAGCTCAGCATAAATGCTAAAGCATAAATAGGACCAAAGGAGAACACACCATCCAGCTTTGTTCAGCAGAAAAACACCTCCTCCAAAATCGTAGCGACAGTCTGTGATGTCACTATCATCTGTACTCCTAATTTTAAATGTGGCTGCAGCCATGTTTGCTTTTATTGAGCCCCAGATTTGATCAAGTGAAGATCTGTTAAAGCGAGCAGGTTGGTTGTAAAGCTGAGTCCAGAGACTGAGCAGGTGAATAAAACGTTAAAATGTTGAAAACATCAAAGAAAATGTTGCTTTTTTTTACAGGTTTGTCAGTAAAATCATCTCTCAGTGAAAAAAGAGAAATAAAGCAGAAGCTCTGTGCGGTAAACAAAGAGACTCTGATGCTCTTCACTGGAATTTAATTTCCATTTTATGTGTTTTACTACGAGTGTTTCTTGTCGTATCTGGGAGCACGATGAGGCCACAACAGATCCTGCTCTCCTTCAGTTTGCTGCTCACGCTCTCTGAAAACATGGAATCTGTCTCTCGTCACTACTCAGTCATCTCTGTCACCTCCGTTTGAACCAGATATCTACTCTTTCATCTCATTTCAAATGTATGAATAAACTCGAGTCAGCTGTGTTTGCATCACCAATGAGACAAACCCATCAAACAGACGGAGCGAGGCTTCGAAAACATCGAATCTCAGCTGATGAAGCAGCATAATGCTGCCTCTGTCCATTATCTGTGTGTGTGTGTGTGTGTGTGTGTGTGTGTGTGTACAGGTGTTCTCTGATCGTTTCCTGCTCATTTTCAGGTTTAATGGCCAAAGGACAGGACGCAGGATCACTTTAAGACCCCAGAAGTCAATTATTTAGTATTTCCAC